CAAACCATTCTGTGATTTTAGGTAAAAATTCATTAATTCTTAGGACAAAATTGGTTTTAATTCTCAAGTTTTACTCTAGATTTTCACCTTCCCGATGTGCAAAGCTGTTTTACAGCCTAATTACGCTGCACCTTTCTGCTGTCCCAGCTGACTCTGTGTGGACGTGCTGTTAAACCAGAGTGGTCAGCATGCTCATTCAAACTTTGCCACAGTTTGTTGCAGGATTAAAAAAATAACCTTTTGTGAAAAAAATTATCGATTTAGCCAGTCAAGACAACAAAGCACAGGTGCGTAAAGGTGTTAGAACCGACAGTACATACCCCAGAAAGAACATAGGCTAAGCCATGATTGCCAGGACACAGTGAGATTACCTTCTTGGTAGGCTCCGTCTGCCATTACCAGGTGAAGTATTTTGGCATACAGGTGTTTGTGCTCGTATCCAAGAATAGTCTGAACTATGGTTGAACAAATATCGATATTTTCATCTTCATCTTCGTGTATAGCCTGGGAGAAAGGACAACCCACGTTGCCAAAATTAAAATGGGCACAGGATTAAATACTTCAAATGTATTAAATGCAATTCATGGTTAAACCCAACTTTTTTCTCTTTAACCCACTGGTGTGGCCTTTTCTGTGTTGATATTTTCACGTGTCGGAAAAGAGACAAAAAAAAGAAAGAAGTGTCGATTCTTGTCGCACGATGCAATTAGTTACTGGCACAGTGAATGGCCGTGGGTACATTTATCTTGTTTAAAAAGTATTTTCGACCCGAGGTTATTCCACAAACCTTTATCTTCTCATAAACTTCCATGAATTTGTCAAAGCCTATTTCCTGCTCCAGGTTGTATCTCAGCTCTTCCAAATGGCTGAAGATACTGTCACATTCTTCACACTCACTGGCAATCTCGCCATCGCTGTTATCTGTGAAGAAAGAACACAACAAGCTTCCCACTCAGTTTTCCCACACTCTTAATGTTGTTTCTACGTCCCTGAACTTCATATCCACACGGAGCTCTACCTGTAATGAAAGCGGGTGAGACCAAAAGCACTGCACGGTGTTGTCAAGTGGTAGGAACAACCTGCAGGGAAACGGGAACAGTCCCTTTCTAGACAACAAGTAAACCCCGTCTCCTCTAACATCCCACTCTGGCAGTTATCCGTAGGGTATTCCCACCAAGGGAAAACAAGGCTTGGTCTTAAAGCAGGCTTTTATTTACAGCAGCAGCGTTCCTAAGTAACGTCCCGTGTAACCATCCCATGTATTTCTGAGGTGGGACTGAGGCAGGCTGTCCCACTCCAGGAAAAAGGGATCCTTCATGAAGCAGTTGTCTATCAGGAAATAAGGAGACTTATACAGAGAGTCAGTTGATTTCTGCACAAGTCTAGAAAACCCAGCGCTAACAGCTCCCAAGCCTTTCCGTCTGCGGTGAGGGCGTCTCCTTCGCGCAGCGCATTCGGTGCGCCAACCGCCGCGCTAACGGTTGATTAGTCAAGGTGATTCTGCTCAGAGGCTACAGAAGCCTCGCCAGTAGGTTTGTTACAGTCGAACCGTGGTTAAGTTCAGTTAAAAAAAGGATCTGTTTAAAAACAAGACAGAACCCCTATGTAAAATCGTAGTATGACGCAAACTGCTTTTGCCCAGCAAACCCACTTATTTTTAATGAAGTTAAAACCACTTACGCCTTAAAGAAGCATTTGAATTACAAAAGCACTTATCTACCCAGGGATAAAAATCTACAACTTCTTAGAATGCAGAGCTTATACTGCCAAAACTTTATTAAAACCCCACGGTATTGCCGGGCAGACCACAGACTTAGCGAGTCAGTATTAAAACTCCACTACTTTCGGTTCCTGTGTGTGACCAGCGTAAGGTATAATCCTGGCCAAGTTGTATCCCTGATTCAAGCACCAGTCACATCGATAACCAATTATCCTTAAAATAAAAACAGTTGCATATGGGTTAAAAACCCATTAGATGACTGCTAATCCTGTATTTAACTTCTGGATCTTGGCCATATTTGGTTTGAAATCTGAGTTTTGAACCCATTATCATAGAATGAATCACAGAAGGGTTTGGGTTGGCAGGGACCTTAAAGACCATCCAGTTCCACCCCCCCTGCCGTGGGCAGGGACACCTTCCACTAGACCAGGTTGCTCCAAGCCTCATCCAGCCTGGCCTTGGACACTTCCAGGGATGGGGCATCCACAGCTTCTCTGGGCAACCTGTCCCAGTGCCTCACCACCCTCTGCGGGAAGAACTTCTTCCTGATATCCAATCTAACCCTCCCCACTTTCCATTTAACCCCGTTACCCCTTGTCCTGTCACTACAGGCCCTTCTTCTGCCTCCAACAATGAAACCTGCAATTCTTGTATCGTGAATCTGGCAGGTGGGACACTGACACCAAGTTCTGTAACGCTCACCACAACAACAGAACGCGCTATCGGTGTGTAATGTCACCATTGGCAAAACCAGAAAGATGGTGTCACCTACCTTTATTTTACCTTAAAACACTGGAATGCACTATATAAAAAGTATCTTACAGAAATACTCAGACTTTCACTTGTTTAAAATGGTCTTCAATAAACCAAAATTACACAAAACCTGTGTTTTAGATTAGTTACTGCTTTTATACACCTTTTTATGCCTGGAACTCTAAATGCACTTTATTTTACAGTAGTAGTAAAACGCATTTCAACCAGAAATTGAAAAACAGAACTGAGGCTTCAGGACACCACTGTGTACAGGCTAATGCAGAACACTGAAAGCGGGAAAACATGTTTCCAACTCATTTTCAAACCTTGGCAGCATTAATAGCTATCTTGGGCTAAGGATGAGGTTAGTAATTTCCTGTTCCTTTTGACCGCCTGTTAATTATTTAATTTAAGCTGGATCCCAGATACTCCAGCCACGTCAACTGCTATTTCTTTTGCACTCTCACGCTGCAGTCCTGAATTATTCAAAACATATGACGTGCAGAGAGTCTTTGATCTTCCCCAGAGATAAATTTTAGGTAACTAGAGAAAAAGTGACTTATAAGCACTGCCTAAAACACATTAATTTGCAATGCTGAATATTGTGCTGATGTTGACCTTAACATTCAGAAAGTCTAAGTATTAACTGATTTTTTTTTTAAAACTTCTTATAAAAACTATTAATTAGAGCTTTATTTCATTATAAGCCTACAGTGGAAAAGCATTTCTTCTGTGTTTGAATTGTTAACATCGATAAAGAACTTCTAAAATGGGTATCAAGAACTTGTACCTGACTGCCATTCTTCATTAAGTGCACTTTCACTGCTGGGGTTGTTGTCGTCGCCTTCATCCAGCTCTGTGCCGTTGGTTATGCACCTGATGGCATTGGCCTTTAGGGTGGGCTCCTCCTCTTCGCTGAACTCCTCGCTGGGCTGCTCCCTAAGCAACTGTTCCATTGAGGCCTGGAGTTCCTGCAGATCTGTGTCTGCCTCCCCGAACACACTAAAAGAAAGTGAGATGAAGGTTACATTATTCCTATTTTGCAAGACAAACTCTGTAGGAAGAGCTGATGTCTTTTGTTAAGCCAACAAACTGGAAAACCAGTGTAGCTGGAGGAAAACCATAGAGTAAAACTGTGTCCTTGGCCCAGCATGACCACAGCACTGACAGCACTCCGTCATGCAAGGCACAGGGAGTAAACGGGAACAGACACCAGGCTGTTTCATAGAAAGATGACAGCCATTCCTCCATTCAAATGCATTAGTGAGATGATTTCAAAATACGTGTGCTTGTGCACTACTATAGAACCCTGGCAAGTGTAAGGTTCCCAATCCAGATAAAAATGTGTCTGGAACAAAAAGAGGTCGTAGACCTTATCAGAATAAACGTGCTAGGTAGTTTTATCCCAAGCTGCAGGGAACAGTCAACAGCCAGGGTCAGATTTTGTAGCCCCTGAAAGAATTTGGGGGATGTGAAGGGCACCCCAGCACAATGGTACAAAAGACAGGTGAACAAGATTCCCAGAACATGCAGAGAAAGGCAATATTCCAGAAATCTTTATTTCTAGAAGAACGGCAGCCATCAACTTTCATCCGTTTCGATGGAATGCAGGGTGCCAGAACAGTATCTTGGATGAAATTTGGAAAGGAAATTCAGACAGCTATTGTAAGCAGTGCATCCCATTAGCTTCTCAATGCCCTGGAACAAGACTCAGAGTAAATGGTGATTCAACACAGCATTTTTAAAAGCTTGGCTAAAAACCCCGTGCTGGTACTGCGAGTAACTGTTGGTTCTAACCAACAATATCCCTGACCTGGGATACCTGCTGAAATACCTGATTAACTTGACACACTCACGTATACTCAGAATCAGAGGGTCCTTCTTTGGCTTGCTCCTCTTCCGTATCATCTATTTCAAGCTGATGCTGGTGCTGCACATCTGCTACGCTGGGAACATCAACTAAAGTTCTGTAGAGTTTGTAAAGATCCGGGAGCGAACACGTCCGCAGCATCTGCAAAGGTAACAGAAAGGCTGCTTGGTAACAGTGCTAAAGGCAGCCTACCAAATACTCTGAAATGAACTTTTTTTTGTCCTTTTTCACCCATTTCAAGACAACAATGTGGGAAGCATTGATACTCCAATCAGAGTATACTCTAATTAGATACTCTAATTGTTGACAGTTCGACAGCTCGAGTTTTGCCTCTTGGCTGAAAGGAAAGCACTCACTCTGCCTTTATGGGTTACAGCGACTGAAAAGCTTTAAGAGCATCAGCTGACCTACGGGTTCTGGTTTTGTGCCGATGTGCTCGTTACCCTGATGGCTCTCTCAGGCAGGGAACAGTGCAGTAGATAAACCACACCTGTATGCAACCGTCTACGATGTACGTCGGTCCCTTACAGCTTAGAACCGTTTTAACCATCTGGCAGTACTTTTGATTTTAGTTTTTCTCTAGGTTGGTCACCGAAAACGCTAACTTTTGTTCACGCTGTACTTCAGGGCAGTTCCGCGCTGTCAGAAAAGTTCGTTACGAGAAGCACTGGAAAGAAGTTCAAATGACAGTAATTTGAGGCAAGGGGAATACAGCAACACGGAGACGAAGTAGCTATTTGCTCAGTAACCTACCAGATCCCTCTTAAGAATTTGGAGAACCCCCCACATCATTGCTAAATATTCAACATAGTGACCTAATCTCTGCTAAGATGTTTTAGCACTAAGCTTCTTTCAGCACAGCTCTGAGCACGTGCGTGGTCAGCATTCGCTCCTAATGAAAATGCCTGTATTTTAATGGGAAAAAATAGTTCCTCAGCTGTGATTTATGCCAGCAGAGTGTGTTCATACACATGCTCAAATCCCAGATCTCTGTCAGCGTATGGCCAGAATATTGTTGCCAAAGGAGTAACCACCCTTCTTGACCACTTCTAACCAAAGGGAAGGAACAATCCCACGACTGGCTTTACCCTGTCCTTTCAAAGCTTTCAGGTATTTTGAGAATCGCCTCTTTTCTTATCAGCCCACTTGTGTTCTCATGCTGTCAGGACACTAGCTCTGTCTGCCCTGCTCCAGGCCTCCTTAGTTTCTGGGTATGAGCCACAGCAGAGGGATACTTGGGCAATTCCAGCAAGTTATCCTTGCAGATACTGCAAAGAAGTGCTGAATGTTGTCTTGTTGCAACCAAACGACACAAGGGAATTCGTTGCTCTCCTTCATCAGGTCTATTGCAGCAGTAACACCGCATCCGTTGCTTTTCTTCAAGCTCTCTGCTGCTATGCAGAGCTCATCTGGTACCGCATTAACCATTCCGTGACAAACATGTCCAGCCAAACACACGCCAAATAGGGAGTAACAAGTGATGTATGGAAGCAGTTCATAATAAGAACTATGTTATCAAGCATATTCGTTGCTTTCTAACTCTGTTAAGGGTATGACAAATGCTCATCTTCCCCCTGCTCACAAGTTAGTTTTTCTGTAATCATTGTTCAGCTGCCAGATAAACAGCTTCATAGCCTAGGGAAGTCAATGACAGACTATCTCTTGAGGCATCAAAATCAGAGACATAAACCCATTTATGTGAATATATGGTTCTGTGAAAACAGATGCAAGCTTGCCCAGAAGCCTTATCTTCCCACAGATGCCAACAGCACTCTCCTTGCTATCACGCTGCCTAGTAATGCATCGACCAGCAGGCAGCATCCGACGTTCAGCTCATCGTCAGTAGTGTGATCTCCTGCCCGCACTCACGGATAAAACAAACAAAAGGTTGGGAGTCAAAAGCAGAAACACTCTTCCTTAACCTGGCATTCCACCACCTGGGAAATCCCTTTGCTACGTATTGACTGAACGCCACGCAGGTGTGCAGGTTGCCAGAGAACCTTGGTTTCTCCAAAAAGCAGCTGCTCTTTTTTGCACTTTCCACTTTAGAACTCAGGCAAGTATTGTAACGTAATTTTAGAAGGCTGTTTCATCTGCTAGTTCCATAGCTATTCTTAAAATATTTTAAATTCTTGTCAAAACCACATTCCACCGTGTCGTGGTTTAACTCCGGCTA